GCAATTGCGATAGAACCAACTTGAGCACCGAAAAGGTAGTAATTTTTGGACTGTTTCGCAATCGGCGAGTGTTGGATCAAGGATAGATATCGTGTTCGGGTTGCAAAGATGTTGCCGAAAACTTGCATGACAACCAAGCTTACAAACAATACACTCTGTCCGGTCCAGTTGAATTCGTTCAGCTCATCCACAGTGTATCCTTTATAACCGTCCGACCATTTATCATAAGCGAGTAGCAGATCTGACGGCGTAAACCCACCATATTGATGCATGTAAAAGAAAAACATGAGATGCGAGAAGAAAGTTTCCATCATTCCAAGGCACAGATATGCTTGAACAAGAAGTTTCCAATTCACAAGACGGTCTTTCCTTGGATTACGAGGTTGACGTGTAAGCAAATCGCTTTCGGGTGCTTCGTACATCATGGCGATAGATGGAAGTATGTCGGTTAACACACAGATAGCAATCATCAGGAATGTCGATAGAGGTAAGGGAACTCCCAGAAACACGTTGACAAGCACAGGGACCAATTCGGACCAAGAACCGGCTGGCAGTAAATAAAGAATGACTTTTTTCAAATTGTCAAAGACCAAGCGACCGCTTTCCAGTGCAACCACGATCGATGAAAAGTTGCTGTCCATGAGTACCATATCTGCGGCTTCGATGGAGACTTCGCTTCCGCTCCCCATAGCAATGCCAATATCGGCGGCTTTCAAAGCTGGAGCATCATTAACGCCGTCGCCAGTCACTCCGACGGTACATTGACGTTTCTGAAATTCTTGGACTATGCTTAATTTCTGCTCGGGAGTCGTACGAGCAAAGACGATTTCATCATATGTAGCAACCAGATCCCATTGCTTTTCGGACAAGGATATCAAGTCAGTTCCGGTTAACAGGAGAGCGCCGGTAGCCCTTCCTTTGCCATTAGAGACAACCCTAGGTTCCTTTTCGGTGACAATTTCCAACTTTGTCGATAGCTGATCGAGATCAGCGACTGTATGCAACCCTTCAGCAGTAAAGATCCCAACTTGTTTGGCAATGGCGGTAGCGGTTAAATGATAATCGCCAGTAACCATGAATATCCTGATAC